AGACTCGGATTCCTCCTGTTATACATCAATGACATATAATGAAAGACAAATGATAAGCTCACTTAAAATTACTCTCCTTAATCGATACGGATATTTTATATAGTAAGTAAAAATAGAACATCAATAGAAAAGTGGAAACAAATTAATTTATAAATGAATAGGGTCCTAGCTAAAATAAATATGCACTGACCTTAGTTATGACACCTGAAGAAACAAAGATCAGATTGATACCAGAGGGCTGGGAGTTCATGGGCTGGGATGGGAGTCAGAGGTAGCTTTCACTTTCCTTGAGCATATTTGTATTTAGTCTTTTGGTACAGTGAACATATGGGATTTGCTAAGGAAGAACCAAGTGTGGAAAATCAGAAAGTGGGAACTAGTAAATAGTCTTTCCTCCAAACTTAGAGGCCTTTCACAGGTGTTGCAGGCACATCCTGACAGCTCCATGTAATTCATCATGAATCCAAAGTGTAATCGGGGACAAGAATGGCTTTGAAGTCTATGATATTTCATCCAAAACTTGGAAAAGTCATGGACTACTTATCCTCTCATCAGAGTACAGAAGTTAGTTAGTAGACTCAAATTTTTAAGTAGTATATTTCTTCTGTTCCTTGTATTTCGTTTGTTTTAAAAACATAAGGCCAAGCTAGGTGGAGTGGCACATGCTTTTAATCCTAGCACTTGTGAAGCAGAGGCAGGAGGATGTATGTGAGTTCGAGGCCAGCCTGGTCTACAGAGTGAGTGCCAGGACAGGCTCCAAAGCTCCAGAGAAACCCTGTCTCGACCAACTCCCCTCCCCCGCAAAAAAGTAAAAATCTAAAACATAAAGTCTAAAATCTTATAATTTTGTTTTTATCTTTCCTAAAATGAAACATGACTCGATTCTGTAAGATTATTGTTGCATTAAAAATAAATTTATCTTGTGTGAAAAGCATATTAAAATTCTTACTTAGTGCATTTTCATTTTCTTTTTCTTCCTGACAGAAATCCCATCTGAGAAAGGATTTTTGGGATAATATGACACTGTCTTTCATATGGAGGAAGACTCAGCCAGCATTGGTTGGACTGTGCACAGCTGAGGACCATAAGACCCGTGGTCAATATAACTCGGTCTTTAGTAGTAGTTTATTGCTTGAGACTAATTTTTACTTCAACCTTATATTCATAAAGGAGTTTTTTTTTTTTTTCTTTTTTACAGTAGCCTGGCTTAAGAGAGAAATTCAAGTTAGTATTTAACTGCTGTTCATTGTCAGGACTGCTTAGTAATCTTTCTATGCAATCCATGTTACAGAAAGGACCCTGCCCTGATTGCTGGGATGGGTGTGCAACTTTGACCACTATTTTCATAGCTCAGCCACAACCCAGATGAAGAACAAGATGGTAAACCCCAAGATCTGCTTTGGGGCAGCACTAACACTGTGTGTCACTTTCTAATTTCCAAAAGGATCTCGAACTTAAACACTGTACAGCTTTAAAAGAAAGAATGGAGGTCTACCATGCGGGGCTTTCTTTTGGAATTCTAGAAAGGGTATGACTGATTTTAGGTGACCAGGATACTCAGCAGTAGTGTCAATCTCCCAGAATATAAGCCGTTAGAAGGCAACACCATTTTCTTATTTTTGTGTCATTGAAGCCCAGTAGAGACCCTGGTATAGAGCCAGCACCCAGAACATTCTGTTCCATGTAATGGTCAACGCAGATGGGAACCATGGTCTCCAGAGACTAGGAGTGGCTTGTAACTAGCACACAATCAAACAGTTGCTTTGCAATGACCCTGAAATGTCCCAGATATATACAAAGGTCCATGGTTATTTACATAACTTCAATAAAGAAATCACAGAAACTAGCAAGTAACTTCAGATCTCTCCAAACCTTCAGGGTTTTACATCTGAAAAAGAACAGTCTCTACATAGGAGACTTAAGTTTGGGATAGAGGTAAAGGAAGGAAAATAAGAAAGGAGGGAAGTTAATATTGTGGAATAGAACCAAGCACAGTAAAATTTGACTTGATATTCTTTATTGCTAAGGAAATAGTACATGGAACAAGTGAAGGTAAAAACTGTCTGAAAGACTCTGGCTCCATATCCAGCAGTAGGTCAAATCTGAGGCTACAAGAGTTTTGAGTTTCTTATGAGAAACTCTAGTAAGAAAAATACAGTGACTCATTTCATAATAATGCCCTTGCTTCCCAAAGTACACAGCTCAGTTCCCACATCCCAAACATATGAACACTGAGCAGGGCTATTGCAACACGGAGCACCTTCCTCTACTGTCTGCCTCTCTTATGTTGTTTGATCTGGGACATGTTCTTCAGTGCAGCTATCTTGAAGAATTAGCATGGTAAATACTGCTGGCTTCCTAGTCTGAAGACTGAAAGACTCCCTCAGCAGTTTTCAATAGATGCTCCCAGATTTCATAACTTAAGGCAGAGAACACTGGAAACTAAAGGAAAACTTCCTAAGGACTACAGCCCCGATGAGAGGTTGAGGCTACTGTCAGGAACAAGACCACTCCCCATCTTATAAAAAATTATAAGAAAATAACTGTAGTTTATTGCCAATAGAGCTACATGGAGAGCTAAGTTCCCAGGCCTTGCCTAATCAGAAGTTCCTTGGGAAGGACAATCAAGAGAGAATGAGATGGATCCTGTCCTTTTGTCAGATGGATCCTATCAATATAAAATGAAAAGAAATTCAAATTCTTGGGAGGGGGAAACCTGACATCACTAGATTTGGGTGTTTGAAGTTCATCATAAGAATGGATTATTTCTTCTTCTTTTTCTTCTCCTCCTCTTCTTCCCCCTCCCTCTCCCCCCCCCAGGAGGCATCAGAGAAGGAAGGATTGTTTATTGTTCCCCAAAAAGCCGAGACAGGTGGACTCTAAGAGGTCAGATATCAATGGAGGGAAGACGTGTGGCTGACTTGTGAGGAATTTACAGGAGGGCCTGGATATTTCCCAGCTTCTCCTGACAACATACCTGAGAGAGTAGTGGGCCGAAGGCCCCGAGGAGGGGGGTGTTCAGCTGAGCCTGCAGCACATGTGGCAGTGGAGCTGTTTGGTAGTACCAACTGTTTCCCTGACTCTTGTTTGTATTGCTGGGAAAGTGTGCATATGAGGGGAAATGACACGTAATTAAAAAGAGCCACCAAAAGTAACGGAAGAACTGTGTGACATAGATGACGTTTTGCTTATGAGCTAACATGGTCAATTTTGGTAGTGTACGCAATGAAAATCAGAACATGTTAAAGATGAGGAAACTGAACTCCCTGTGTAAAATGTTCAGACTGGTTAATGAAATGAAAATCCACAATGAAAGTTTTCAGTAATTAGGAAGTTCTCCAGATTGCAGGGTTTATGTAACAGCAGCTACAGAAAACTTACATCTGTATAAATACTAGAGCCCCCAAGGGGATAATGTTTCATTTGTATTCAGATTCTTTAATTCCTCCTTAACAATTTAAGATATTAAGTATTAACATTACACATCAGATATAAGATTTGATTTCTCCTGTATCCCATCTGTAAGCAATAACATTCTGGTAGAGGTAATAGTTTTTTTTTTTTTTTTAAGCCATAGATCAATTCTTTCTTGCTCTGAAAAATCAGTTAAGCAATATTTATTAAAATACAGGCCAACATAATTACTTTAGCATTTATTAATTTACTGAGATAATGCAATGTCCTGGAAATATTTCAAAAAACAAACTTTTAAGGCCTTTGGCCAAATTTGCTTCGCTGATCTTATTTTATGTATATATGTAAAGTGTCTTTGAGGGAGGAAGAGGAAATAAAAGGGTTACACTGGCTTTTTTAAAAAGGGTCCTTTGCTCAAAACAAAGGAACCAAATACAAGTACCAGTTTCCAGCTCTTTGCTTCTCCTGGGTCTCACAGAGCATATGAAACACTTATGTATTTACTTAAGATGAGATAAGAAGCTGCTTTCATACCATGTGGGCCAAATTCCAAATTTCTTATGGGTTAAAAAATAATAAACAATAGGGATAATCTAATATCCCCACAAATTATTTTAGAAGCACAATAATCATGTCATACTTTAAGGCTGGGTTAATGTCTTCACTATTTATTTTCCTGTTCATTGACGGTTCAAGCCATAGACCTACTCTTTTTTTTTTTTTTTTTTAAAGGGCAATTTAAATAGACCAAACTATGACTGCAACAAGATACATATACACACACAAGGACACTGTCAAGAGCACATGTTAAGATTAAAAGACACAGCTGTAAGCTATAGCATTTTGAGTAGGCTTTCTACATTTCGTTGAGTAGAGAACTGCAGTGAAACAGAACGAGGCCTTGATAGAGCTCAAGCTTAGCATGAGAAAAGAGAGCAAGAGAAAATGAACTCTATTAGCTATGAAATAATACACTAGGGAGTAAGATTCGTTCTCATGAAAAAACGTCAATGATTCACCATGGAATACAATTCAGAAGACACTGACCCAGTGGAAACTTCCAGTGGAAGCTTCAATTTCCGCTGTTTTTCATTTAAATACCATCACAAACACCATCAAGGTTTTCCTGATGTGCTGATGCCTCACTCAAAGTTGAAAGTGATAAGATACTGCTTATCAAACTAAATATTCATGGTATTAGAGAGGGAAGAAACAAAAGCTCAAAAGGCTAATTGATCAACGAATTAGCTGATCAGTGTTACCATGAAAAATAGGAGATAAGGCATCTAATCTCTTAAAACACACAGAATAACTGCTAATAGAAGGCACCCCCGACACCACCACACACACATTACCACTACCATCACCAGACACACATTACCACAACCACACACACATTACCACTATCATCACCATACACATACCACCATTACACACACATTACCACTACCACTACCACTACACACAACACCACTACCACACACACACACACACACACACACACACACACACACTACCATCACCACCACTACCATGGTCACTCAGTACTAAGAAGAATCTATCACAGATTTTTTTTTCATACATACCGACTTTTCATTCTGGCTTGCCCAAGTACCAGGACCAAATGCAAGCTGACTAACACAGACCACAAATCTGTCAGGAAATATACGAAGTTCTGTACAAAACAGAGAAGACCAAGTTACTAAAAGCATGAATACCATGCAAATAGAAATTCTTCTTCCCAGGTTCTTGGGGAATGTTTTGTTATGGCAATGTGCACATGAATGTGGTTGAGATCTCTTCTCCCTTCTTCTTGCTACAGGGTTCCAACCACTTGGGCAGGGTGAATTCAAGGAAGAGACAAGGGTTTGCAAAATGGTCCACCTCAGCCACTGAATTAGTAGAACAGACCATTATTACTGCTCTCTGTCTTAGTATGTTGGATTCCTATTTGGGAACAAATGGTTTCTAATCAGCACACAGACTTAAAGAGAAAGAGGAAGAATGAGAGACTCAAATCTTTCATGTTTTTCCCAGGTAGTTTCTTTTGTAATCTTCCTTGTCAGTTGCTCCTGAAGAGAACTAGAGGGCTAATTCTGTACTAGACAGCTGGCTTCTAAGCTGAATCAGGACATGAAAACAACCATTGCTCTTAGGAATTGATGGCTAGCCTATTAAGGGTATGGTTAATTATGCAACAGTAGAGGTGGCATTAGGCCTCAGCCACAGCAATTGCCCAAATCTTTTTTGTAACATATACATATATTGATTGCTAAAAAACAGTCATTTCTCTAAAATGGAACGATTCCTTCTCAGACATGACCATGTTTTTAAGACAGTGTTATTAATTAGCTTAAGTTAGGAATCAAGTAAGTGAACCCTTTCAACACTCTGCAAGTGAGGTACTGAATGAGATAGTAATACACTTCCAGTTGGTTCAACTGTTCACCACAAATGTGTTAATTATATAAAAACATAATATGAACACAGGTAACACCTTGTACCAATTGGCTAGGTCAGAGAGTACCAAATACCCCTACACAGTTGATGTTCCTGGAGTGGTCCCACTGGGCCACTGCTGTTCCTTTGGTCACTACCATTCTAAAGCATGCACCTCAACATAATAGGTCACCTCGACATAGCAGGTCAGATGTCCTGGTTTACTTGGCTCCCACTACCTAATGAGGATGTGCCAAGTACTCAGAACTTGCCTGACTTCAGCCCAACCTGCTGTTCTGATCTCAGTCAACCAGGCCTCCCATAGGAAGGCTTTGTTGTAGATGGAGTCAGAGGTATGTCTAAATTTCAACCACATGCAAGAGTTAGATCTGAATGGGGACCTCAGATATTTTTGGAAAGCTCTCAGAACAAAATTACAGAAACAATTAATATTTATGTATTACTTCTTGAAATAAATTATTGCAATAGGGATTAAGTGGTAAGTAACCTCTGTTCTACTTAATAGAGGGAAAACAAGCCATAGAATTCATTATTTCTCCCCTATTAAATAAATAAGAAAATTAAAGAAAAATATGCTATTTGGGAGATCAGAATTGAAATTCAAATGATCACTCCATCTATTTTATATTTCTATTTTTCATCTAAAAAAAGAGTGATAGATTATGAATATTTCTGAATAAAATATGAATAGATTATGATAGTCAAATCAATTCAAAAGTATCTTTTGTATCACTTTACTTGAGCAAAATTTGATTTGTGATACTTTAATACTTAAATAAATATTTAAACACCAGTCCTACCAGGATGAATAGCAGATTGCATTGTAGGAGATAAAAGATTAACTTTTTGAGTAAGGTAAACAAAGTAGATGATTCCATTAAGAGGCTAATATAGGGGCTGGAAAGATGGCTCTGTGGTTAAAAGTACTAGCTGCTCTTCCAGATGGCCTAAGTTTGAGTTTTATAACCCATCATGGTGGCTCACAATCATCTCTAACTCCAATTCCAGGAGATCCACTTCTAGCTTCCAAGGATGCCTAGCACACATGTGGAACATACACATACATGATGCAGGCAGACCTCATACACAGAAAATAAAAATAACAATTGTTTTAAAAGAAGGTCATATATTTGAGCAACATTTAAGAGTTAAGAAAGTACAGATAATCATGAATATTCTATGAGCAAACCTCCATGAAGGCAATTCCTAAGTTCCTGTTTCATATCTAATATTCATAAGGACATCATCCAAAATAGCTAACTTTCTAATGTTAAGACCTACACAGAGGGGATGGCCATTATCTCCTGATTTTACTGTGGTTGATTGGACATGATATCATTTTTGTATCATGATTTGCAGAAGTGAGAGTTGTGACCTGGCTTCATTAAATACTTAAGGAAGGTTTTCTGGATCTGGGCTGGGAAAATGCTTTCTTATTTCCAAAGCTCATGTGGTGCACTTACCCTGACAGAATTATCCAACATTCACATATTCACTGAGTCACCTTTGAAACCTAATGAAAATGCTGCTATGCACCAGGAAAGTAAAGTCTACCATGGTCCACTCTGTTCTTATGAGCAGTAAGCACTATGAATGGAATATGAGGGATAATATATGCCTTGAAATAATACCAAGTGATGTAGTCACAGCAGCAAATAGTAATGTTTAAATTTTCAATCCTCTTTTGGACAAATTGTGTAAATGCCTGATCCAAACTACTGGATTCTTACCAGTGTTCTGTGAGCTCTGAATACAGCGAAGATGTATTCCTCTCTTGACGAAATAGGCTGTGATCTGAAAGCCATAACCTGTAATATGACAGTGACATCGTTAGATTATAAATCTGTCTAAATTCCAGAGACCCTGCCCAATGCCTGTCATACAATAGACACTCAATAATTAAAAAATAAAAGAATAAAAGAAGTAACAGAGCCTTCACACAAGTGGACAGAGCAATATTATCTTACTGGCTTTTCTAAGAGGCAAGGTCAAAACACCTGGCATGACCCTAAGTCTCTGAAGTAGCTCAGTCACTTCATCTGTAAAATGGGACAAATGAGGACGATTAACGTATCTAAAAATTAATGTTTTCAGATGAATGATAGATTAAGTCTAAATTGATGCAACAATCTTGGCCATCTTCTAATGTCCACTACTTATTATACATTAAAAAATAGTTGTATTCTTTATAAATAAGTCACTCCTTAGTTCAAGTGCAGTCACATCTTCATAAAGGATGAGAAGTAAGAAATACTGCATGAGCTGAAAACCAAACAAAACACCAACAACATCCATCCCCCCTGAACTCCCAACTCACTGGAACACATAGAAAACAAGACTACAAATATGTGGGACAATTGGAATTCCCATATGCAGTTGACAGAAGTACAAATAGGCACAGCCATTTTGAAAGAGTACTCAATACCTAAAGGTGAAGTTTACAAATATGTATATTTCCATTATAGCATTTTTTTTTACAATGGTCTCAAACCAGAGCCAAAGTGAAGATCCAATAAGAGCAGAATGTTTTTAAATGATGACATAGTGTGAACTATTATGTTTCCCTTAAAAATGTGGAAACTATAGCTACTGCATAAACTCTGCCCCAAACAGAGAATCCAATCTGTGAAATTGCCATCAACTCATCGCAGTGCTAAGAGAACTTCAGGCAATCCACAGGAAGCATTTGCCTCCCTCCTTTCTTCAGTGCCTCTCCTCCAGTTTTCCTTGGGTGATACAATACTCAGCCGAGTTTTCCTGAAAACATCAAGTAACAGTACTTGTAGTTACCAAAGTCTTGAGCATTTCCTGGCACTGAGACAACCAAGAAAGCTGTTACAGAGGCTGAGAACCATCAGAACCTCTGCAGGGAAATCAAGCCCATACTGTCTTTAGCTTCATGGCAAAGTTTGTTCTGAAAACATGTGTAGAGTTGAAACACAACTCTTCTGCATTTACTACCCTTCCTACCATCCTGCAAGCAGCCTGAAGACATAGGAGAGCACAGACTCGATGATGTTCTGTCTAAACATGCAATGGCTTTGACAGCACAATTACTTCAGTCATTGTGAAATGACAGGGACATCCACGAAAGGATAATCTCCAGATTTACAATGATCAAATATATTCTTCTCACCACAATAAAAATCAGACTTATGCCAGTCATATTGCTTGCTTCTGCTAAGTTCTGAAAATATGTACAGGGCTGGCATTTCTCTGAGTGCTTTAAATAAGTGTTTCGTTCTTTAGGTCACTGAGAAAATATAAGTCACCTCCACATCTGCTTATTTGCCTTACTCTGTGTGTGTGTGTGTGTGTGTGTGTGTGTGTGTGTGTGTGTGTGTGTGTGTGTGTGTGGTTATAGGAGAAGAATCTGTAGCAATTTGGAATTCAGGAACACATCAAAATGTAGAAGTGAATTTTCACGTAATTGTTTATGAGTCTTACAAAGGACTTAACAAGGAAGAGAATGTACAATAGTCCTTGCTACTCTGCAGGTCTTAGCAATTATGATGCAGATGGCATGTTCAAAATTTCAAATTCTTCCTGACAAAAATCTCAGCATCAGAAAGTTATAACCAGGAAGGAGCTAAATGTAAAGCCACTCATGAACGTCACCGTTCTGTGTTCATGGAGCCTGCTACCTGGAAGATACCACCTAACTGATAGAGAAACTCTACACCAAAAAGTCGTAAGGAGTAAACAATCCTAAACAACAAAGCTCTAATACAAGATCTTCTCCAACAGAAAGTAGTACAAGGCATATAACAAATGATTTGTTAGTGAAATCATTAGTATTGAACCCAGTCCCATGAACCTATGCCCCACTCTGTTGGGCCTAAAGAGGCCTGGGCTCAACCCCTAGTGGAACTTCCTGAGCCTGACTAAAGTTTGGCAACCTGTCTTTGGCCTGTGACCTCCAGTGGGAGTGACTCAGCAAGGCCCTATGTATGACTGCCCCCTGCCTAGCTAACCACTAGCTTGGTGGAATATTATTGGCCCTTTTTCTTCAGGTCGCTTTACCCCATACTAAGATTCCCACCCCCTACCCCAACCCTATGTAAGTCCCCCTGCTTCATACAATAAAGCAAGTTCCTGCCCTTGACCAGGCTCCCTGTTGAGTCTGATTGTCCTTGGGCTTGGGCTGGGGAATGGGTGGACAGTATGTTCACCTTTCCTCTGTCCTCTCCTCTGAGGGAGGAATTGCAGAGGGACAACCTGGCACCATCCCACCCCTAGGACAGAATTATGGCCAGGAATCACTCCTAAAGTGGCTTGTATTATTAGTAATCTTAGGAATTGTAGTTCAGTGGTCCTTCAAACGAAATGTTAACTTAAACAGAAAAAAAAAAAAAAAAAAAGATTTGCACCTGCTTAACTGAATTCCACTGGCTATATGAAACTTTATTGTTTAAAGAGAGATTAAACACAAAAGGTACTTGTGTTAGTTCTTAAGGCAAACTAAACTTGATATATAAACAGAGCGAATTACTGCCACTGAAACAAACTGAACTGAAATGCTTTGGGAGATGTATTCCATTTCCATAGATAACAGGGAGAGATAAAGACTACTACATTCTTATCTTTATTCTTAATGAAATTGAGTTTACAGAGTTCAAATGGCCACTGAAGTTTTAAACTCACTCTGGGTTAAACCAAGGCTGCACACTCTAAAGATAACAGTAATATGGCAAAGAATCCAGATGTCTGTTTCTCCCCAACTCATCACCATCTCCCAGCTTTCTATACTTACATTCTAAAGGCAGAAAGACAAGTTAGGTTCTCAGCCATTGTCAGAAGTCTGCAGCAGGCTGTGATTAATACAGAGACTCATAACCGGTAGAATTACCAAGAGAGGATGGTCCAGTACTTGGCCCTAAGTGGGTCACTAATATCACCCTTCCCAAAGTTTAGACAATTATGAAAGAGACGAAGGAAAGACTGAAAGAGACAGAGAAAGGTGAAATGTTGCAAAGAAGACATCTGGTCATGACATTGCCATAACACTCAGAAACACTCACTAGATCTGTGGTTACCTGTACAAGATTGAGCCCATCATTATTCTATTATGAAATGGGGAAGGGCACATGAGGCCCCAACCCTTCCTGGAAAATTACAATTAGTAGTGTGGGGGAAGGGCTGTCACCTCTGTGGTGTAGCCAATGGTAAGTTGTCCATGCTCCAGGAAAATAACTTTCTACCCATCTTCCCCAAAGCAACTCTTAACAAGCTCAGTGGGTAACACACACAGAGAAGACATCAAAGTAGGAGGGGGACTTGCTGGGAAGGATTTCAGCTGCAGGAGTGGAGGAAGAGACATAGTGATGGGGTGGGTAAAAACGACTGAAATCCACTGCACAAACAAATGAAACTGCCAAAGAATAAAACATAGATTAAAAATCCCAGCCAGGAGACTGGGGAAAAGATACATATAGAAATAAGTCTCTTTTCATCTCAAGTCCCCAGCTATGTCCATTCCTAGATATAATATTTCTCAGTTAATTAATGCCATATGATTGTTCAATGCTAAAAAGTACACCTCATCTCTAGGCAGCCCCCAAGGAAGAGTCTCCCTTTTGCATTTCATGCTTGGATAAGGAGCTGATGTACTTCTCTCTATACTTCAAATAGCCTCCAGCTCCCCACTGAAGGCTCAAACGAGGACCAGTTGCCACAGCTTCTCTACTGGGCTCCACTGGCTGTACACAGAAGGTATACAGATTCTTAAGAAACAAGAGTATTTGTCTTAAACTGTCCCACTCTCTCTTTGTTAGGAATAAGAGGACTTAAGGCTGAAGACATGGTTCACAAGAATGGTCCCTAAGCCACTTGCTAATAACCTAGCCCTCTGAAAGTTCTTGAGTTGGGGCCCCACATTTGCCTTCAGCACTGTCTTCCATGCTCCGATGATTGTGGCCCATTCAGGCCTGCTTAAAGCATCCAAGTCCAATGTTCCCAAATCAAGCCTGTCACAGCAATATGCTACTCCTTGTTACCAACTTCTGTCTTAGTGACTAGTCTATTGCTGTGAAGAGACACCATGACCCAGGCAACCCTTACAAGAGAAAGCATTTAACTGGGGTCTCACAGTTTCATAAGTTTAGGCCACTATCATCACAGCAGGGAACATGGTGGCATGCAGGAAGGCCTGGTGCTAAAAAGTAGTTTGATTTGAAGGTGGGGGTGGGGACAATACAGGATGGATGGGATACTTGATCGGACAGACAGAGGCAGACACACATTGAGCGAGGCAGAGGCCAGGTTTGACATCAGTTTCACAGCAATAGAACAGTAACTAAGATACTAATTTTAAAGGAGTGGCTATTTATTGGTTATTATAATTCATAGTGCCAGGACACTGAGAGAAAATGGCCCTTGAATTACTGTGAAACTATTCAGCCTCATTAGCTTTCCTGTGAACTCATAGCCAAAATGACTTGAGAATCGCTGCAGCTGCCAAGGGAAGTTGGTAGTACAGTACCTAACACAGAAGTTCCACCCTCAAACTGTTCTGAGACCATGTATGGGGGAAGCTGTGTGCCCTGCTGGGCCGATGAGATGGTATGGCTGGTATGCACTGTTTCACAGGTTTCCTACAAGCTCTACCCACCCACTGCATGCTTTCTTCCTGCAAAGTTTCCTCCCAAAGCACAAGGCAAGTTCAGGAAGAGCTTTCGTATCCTTCAAACTTCTCTCATGGAAAGAACTTCAACTGATCAAATGACCATAAAACTTCAAATATTCAGAAAATCAAACCAAATGCCAAAGTCCAGCAGTTCCACCATCTAGACTCAGCAATGCGTAATGA